CATTTTTCACACCATTTCTCTCAGAAATAATCCATTTTCAGATTTTTTTAAGGCTTGGTCCTGGTGGGACTCACGCCAAGAAATGTATGAGACCAGACCAAATGAGATCAAATGTGAAATTCATGGTCCCGGCGGCCAGTCTAAGTCTCACACTCTTCTTTAATTTTTCTACACACATGTATACACATTTCTATATTGGCATTCCAGTCAATCTTGTAATAAATGATATTAATGTTGTACACAGAGTGATAGAGAAATCAGAGACATATACAGTGTTATTATAAGAGCAGCTTACAGCTCTTGAATTTCTTATGAATCTCAAGTTTTGAGATTTTCTTTATTTTTGATGTTTTTTGAGTGGCATGGCATTGAAAATAGATTAAATATATAACATATGAAAATGAATGAGATGTGTATGATAACATTTGTTTTTTACAGCTGATTCTTATAGTTGATAATCAATTCATTTCTCTTTTCTTACACTTTTTCTTTATCTGCTAGTCACTACTCTTACATAATCTCTATATAATACAGTATTCAGTGACTAGATTCAGCAGCTTTTATCTTTTGTGATTCTATCATATGTATTATACTGTCTCTCTTCACCTGCTCAGATCACTACAGTGAATAGCTTGTTAAAACTAATCTCACTCAATCTCTGAGCATTCTCAGAGATTGAGATAGCTTGATCTCACATATTTATAAATGTTTCAGATACTTTGTCCTCTATTATCTTTATAATTGAACTGATATAAACAGTTGAATTTAACTCTGAATTTCTTTTTCTTCTATAATCTGACTTATATACAAGTCTACTGCTTTGAGACTGTTCTTTACTATGTTGCATCTGCTATCTGCAGTGTGTTATTATATAATCAGCTACAGTCTTATCACTTATTAAAGTATGATATTTATCTGATTTCTTCATTTCTTCTCATTCTTTTCTTGTAATGATGAAAAGATTGAAATAAGTGAGATTATCTGATTTATAAGCATCTATGATCTTGTAGGCTACTGGGGCAAAAGAGCTCAATCTCAATCATCACCAGCGCACTGCTGGTAGAAGGGCCGACCAACCGCGGGACCCTTAACACCCCCCCTCGGACCAGCTACCACAGAGTACAATACTTCCTCTCAGTGGCTCCCTTCAGTGGCCTCCTCACAATGGCTTCTTTTTAATAATGAACTGGATCACTCAGTTCTAGGGCTTAATGGGACTTCTAGGGCACACTTCTGGGATGTCTCTTGGCACTGTTAAAATGTCCAGGGTATTTGTTAGGAATTTTTAAGTTCATTCTGGAATCGAACCCATGCATGTTGACCACAGCGGGGCTCACGCTTAACAGTCTCATAACCTGTAGACTACTGGGGCAAAAGAGCTCAATCACCACCAGCGCACTGCTGGTAGAAGGGCCGACCAACCGCGGGACCCTCAACAGATCTCTCTTACTTTGTGAGACTTTTTAATTATAAGCTTCTTCTTTTTCAACACTGATAATAGTGCTGTGAATAATTATAATTCACTCAGATCTTACATCTTCATCTTTATAAAATATGAATCATTTATCAAGTTGTATAAGACTCATCTCTCTGATTTCTTCAATGCATAAGTTCTCAGAAAATGTGATTTAAGTATTTTATAAAGTTTAAATCATCTATATTGAAACTTCTCAGAACTCTTATTATATATAAGAACTTATATTTTCATCTTGAGACTTGATTTCTTAACTAGTAAGTCTCAT